AGGAAAAATTGATAACAATAAAATAATTTAGATTTCTCACCAAGATAGCCAGGTAGACTTCTGACTGAGAGCGGTGTTGAGAGTCGTGAATTCATCAGTAATTCAGACCGTAACAACGATATTACTGCTGGAGATAGCTGAAAATACAGACAGAAGATGAGTTAGCTTACGAATCTGAAAAAAGAAAAAAAAACTAGTGGCTTAGTTTCTGAAATGTGATTATTTCTTTGGTTGAGCCCTTTCTACACTTCTTCTTTTTTCCCCCACCCCCTTTCCATCTTGTTTACTAGGTAGATGTTGACAATATTTATGCTTGCTTGATGATGCTGCGGAAAAACTTGAAACGTCAACATTATAAATGCTTATTTGCTTTTGATTGTTTGATTTTTGATAGTACTAGTTGGTTTTTTTTCTTTTTTTTTCATCTTTTTTATTCATTTTATTTTGTTGTTGTATTTTTCTGCTTAAATTCTTTTTTTTTTTTTTTAGAAAACTAGACTGAAGTAAATTTGCTGTTGAACATCTTGTTTGAAACTGAGAGAAAATTTCAAAGATTTCAAAAAAAAACGGCAAAATGATGTAATATAAGTGATAAAAAAAAAAAAAGGGAAGAATTGCATAGTTTATTACAATAATTGAAGGCTAATAATTATTGAATGTAATTTTGCTGCCTAAAGTGTCATAACCATTATCTTAGTACTGCCCTTTTTTTCCTTCTTTTTTTTTTTGTTTTTTTTTTAGTTGTCTCATAAATTGATTACATCGAATTGTCGCTGCTGTATTTGAGTGGCAAAAAAAAGCACTTTTCAGAGGATAAAAAGATGCAAAAAAACTCTGACAAAATACTGAGGAGAAGAAAGAGATGCAATAAAAAAAAAAGACTTTGCAGAGCACACTATGTAATCTGATACTTTTGTAAAGACATTTCCACACCAGTCATTTTCAAAGTTGTTCATCGCCTTGTTGATCGCTTTGTTCACCGGCAATATGAACATCAAAGTTTTCATGCATATTATACGTAATCGAACGTTTTCTTCAGCAGTTTAACAGATTAGCACAACTATAATTGAGTTTTTTTTTGCTTAAAAAAAGATTGTATTTTTTCTTTCTCTGATTGAAAGTGCCACTGAAAAAAAAAGCGAAAATAAGAAAAACAACTTAAATATAAAATTTGCAGAAATTTGACAGCAAAAAGAAGAAGGAAAAAAATTTGATGTTTTAACAATATGTGAAAATCATATGATTTTTGCTGACAAACAACATACTGTTTTTATCTTAACTTTCTTTCTTGTTTTGATGCTGAAGAAAAAAAAAACATAATTTTTGGCTTTCATAACTCCAAACGCTGATCATTAAAAAATCGACAAAAAAAAACATTTTTAAGAGCTACTAATACTAAACGGGTAATACCTGTCGTCAGATGTATTTGATCTATTCGAAAAATTTTAGTGAAAAAAAAAAAAAAAAGAGAAAACAAAATGAATAAACATCTTTTTTTTATTTTTCAACTGCTTTTTGTTCAAATATCAAATAATTACAAAATAATTCGGCCAACAAATTTCTGATACTATTTTATTTTTTGCTGCTTCTTCACCCTCCTTCCCCCCTCTTTTTTCTTTTTTGATATTTTTGAGCACTAAATTGCAGCTGTTGAGCAGCTCCATTAGACGACTGATAATTGCCAACGTTAATGTTTGATTCAAGAATGAATCGTTTGTAAAAAAAAACAGCCATTACTCTGTGTTTAAGATACTGAGATAGGTTTCACGTGGCCTAAAGATTAAGCCAAAAAATACGAGAGGTTAGTCTAGGTGAAAATGTACAATTGTAGACAAGAAAAAACTTGACTGAATTATATACAGAAGATTTTGTAAACCAAAAAGCAGGCGGATTCTTTTGCCTCTCCGCACCCTCATTAACCTTCCTCTTCTCCCTCCTTCTACTTTCCAACTTTTCAGTAATCCACCGATTTTTCTTTTTTTTTTCGAAGTCTCTTCGCTGTCTTCATTTACTGCTTTCTTCATTCATCGTGACTTAAGCAAAACACAGCGATCAACTGATAGCAGAAAGCAGTATTTTGCAGTTCGCAAATACTTAGCAAATGTTATCTTTTGCTTCTCTTTCTATGCTTATTTGATGACAGTGATTAAAATTTGGTTAGTGAATATCTTGTTCATCATCAGTAAAATCTTTCCAGAAGGAAAACTTCGCTTAACTGTGTTCTGTTTGCTTAATTGTCCAACAATTTTTTTTCTAAAAATCAGCAATTTTTTTTTATTTTGCGATATTTTATTAGCAATCATAAGTCAATTTCTTGTACTTTTATTTATTTGCAAAAAAAAGAAAAGAAAATAAACTAACCTGCCAAAGGTACTTATCTATAAATCCCTCTCACCACCTACCCCATTAATTCTCCTCCGTAAAAAAAAGAATCCATCGATTTATTGTTATTAATAAAAATAAATATTCAGATGCTCTACAAAGGTACTCTTAATTTCTCTTTTTTTTGTTTTGAAAATGCAAATTGTATATGACTACTAAAGCATGGAGAGAGGAAAGAAAGAAATGCATTTTTAAAGACATTTTCAAATTGAAAGTGAAACTGTAAAATGTTACAGAACCTTTTGGTTCAATTTTTTGTAGTTAGTGGTTGAAGTAAAGTGCTTTAACCTACGAATTACAACTAATTAATGCCTGTATCTTCAGTAGTTTATGAGGAGATTAAAAGTACTTCTCAAAACAGATTACTTTTCAGTGTACCGCCGACTACCTAACCTGTATATTACATGATACATCAGGATCATTTACAGATATTAAAGAGCTTATATTCTAAAAGATAATGTGATTCAAAAAAAAAAAA